CGGAGACAAAGTGATGGTGAGTGCACTCGCTGCGCTCATTTCCGGGCGCAGTTTGGGTACTGTATATAGCTTGTCTTTCTGAATTTATAGTTTCTATTGAACTTAGTTTTCTGAAATTGAGAGAGTTTGGCAGAGGTCGCAGTCTAGACCGAAATCAGTGCGTGTTTCTGCGAACGAAGGCATTTATATTGTTTCAGGGATCGCTTTTTGCCAAGGCAGCCTTCAATTCTACTCATAACCGTGGAGATGATATTGACATCGACGATCCAAATTTCTGGACGAAATGGGCTGAAAAGGCGCAGGTATTTGTTTTTTTACTGATCTGTTCGACGCAGTTCGGCTTGGGGGGGAGGCATTTTCGCACTTTTGCTGCTTTCCACTGTCGTGCTTGTTGCTTTACAAGAGTTGGCAGGTGTTCTTTACAAGATTTGACACGGAGCCTCTACAATTTTCAACCTTTATAACTATATGGCCTCACGAGTGCTCTACTATGGCTCGACAGGAGAATGAGAAGCAGCGAACGTGCAAATGCCCCTCCCCTCCCTCCTCTTCCACCCCGTCGCTGAATTGCACATCTGTTCTAATGTTAACAGTTTTCGTTTTCTAGGTGGATATTGAAAAGGCGACAGCAACACCAGACTCCCGTGACCTCATCATGCAAGAACCAAGAAAGCGCACAAAACGGTCTCAGTTTTACTTGCAGTTTATTTCTTTTTTTTTTGCTTTTTTTGGCTTCCAATGATCGCTTTCAGAACTGCCAGTTCAACACAATTCAAAGAAAATAATGATTTCAGTTTCGAAGAGAACTCGCTTAAAGAAGGCGAAGATTCTGATGGTAGCGATGAGATGGGTAAAGGAAGAAAACGTGGCGGCGCACAAGGTATGGCTCACTAGTTATTCAGAAGTGTTTCTTAAGGAAAGATATTGCCGGAAATAGTTTGAAGTGAGACGATCGTCAATAGCGCTGTGAAGTGAACGCTACTGGTGTGGAAAGTTTAGAGCTCCATTCACTGTTCAGTGCACCCCCCCCCTCTCTCCGGTAATCGTTACGAACTCGGATGAGATTCTTCCGGACTTTTTTAGGAATGTAGGCCAATGTTTTACGAGGGTAGTTTATCCTTGAACGTGAATATCACGTACGCTTGGAGCTGAAATGCCAACTGATCGTGGTGACTGGCGCGAGGCCTAGCGCTTACAAGTTGAGCAGATGTGATATTTTGTATTCTGAAATTCTAATCTTTCCTGGGAAAAAGTTATGACGGAAAATTTCACCTAAAACCAGGCTGAATTTTCGAAAAGATGAGTATTGAAGCGCAGGTAGTGCCAAGCTTGGTTCTAGGTCGAGAATTTCCCTGTGGGGCTCATCGATTAGTTTGTTTTGTCGTGTAGTCAACAGTTGCGTAGCTTGATCTATTGGCTCTTCACTACAATTTGCCTTCAGGCTCAAATGTTCAATCAGCCAACCGCAAACGAAGACGTGGTGAGGATGAGGACGGTGACTATGTTAGTTATCGTCCTGATGAGCTAGCGTTCAATAAGAGCGAGTACTTCAAGGTAAGATATGGCAGTTCCTGCGGAATATTGATAGATTTATTCTTCTGTTTAAAATGGGGGTACAGTTCGACTTGGTGGGGCACCGATTGAATTTCCTCTAAGTTTGTGCAGCTCATCCTGTGAAGACCTCTAATTACCTGTGATCAAGGTGACTCCCACCCGCAGCTTCACAGAAGTTTACAGGTCACTCCTCTGAGAGATCTATTATTTGACATGCACTAACAAAGTGAGCAAGCGAAATGCAAGATGCCCCCTCCAAGCAGAATAGCGCCGGGCAGTTGAATCGGTTTATGGCGATTGGGCCACCCTTCTTGGTTAGGTGTTTGCAGAGTTGTTCAGCGCCTTCTCGACCCTGACAACCCTTGCAGCATAGCAAGGAATTTCTTTGAAAGCAAAGAAGTCTACCCATCCCTCATTCTCTTGATTTTATTTTATCAGCCGTCGATTTTGGGCCCGTTCCATTTGTGAAAAAAAACAGAAAAATTCAGTAGGTACGTGTAGTTAGAAAAAAAAATTCAACTTTCAGGTGGAAAAAGTGCTGGCATCTTGGGGATGGGGACGATGGTCTGAAATGAAGAAGAGCGGAGAGCTCGAGGTAAACCATTTTTTTTAAATTAACGAAATAAGTGCGCTCTTTATATTCCCAAATGCTTTTATCTCAGGTTTCTGAGATGGATATCGCTCACATGGCACGCACGCTTTTACTGCACTGCGTTCGAGAATATCGTGGAGATGAGCGAGTAAGGCAGACAGTATGGCAACTGATTGCTCCTCAAGGCGCTAAAAATGCCAAGGAACCAAAAGGATCGCAGTCCATCTACCATCAGGGTCTGTGA